ATCAACAACCCCTTTGACCCAGTTGTTCTCCCCTCCAGTGCACCGGCAGCAATTGATGCAGAAGTTGAGCTGGCTGTGATCCTTGGAAGGGAGTGCAAAAACGTGGATACGTCTTCCGCATTAGACTACGTTCTTGGCTATACAATAGCCAATGACATTACAGCTCGGGACGTCCAGGCGAGAGTCTCGCAATGGGGCTACGCGAAAGGATATGACGGCTTCTGCCCTCTAGGACCTGTTCTTGTGAGCCCCAAGGCTCCTGGCTTGAATATAGAAAATTTGGACATGAAGACTAAATTGGATGGTCATGTTCTACAAGACGGAACATCCTCGCAAATGATTTTTTCTGTCGCGGAGATAATTTCATACTTATCAAAGGTAACAATCAGCCTTAAACACGTCAAGGTCACTTAACCGCGGCGCTAACATAAGACTAGGATACCACATTACCGGCTGGAACCTTGATTCTGACGGGAACACCATCAGGTATTGGGCATAGCTACTCGCCACCCAGATACTTAAGGGCAGGATGTCATCAACAAATTAGCATCAGTTCTGGCTGTGGAACTTTAATCAATCCTGTTGTCTCGGAAGTAGCTGAACCAAAATTATAATTAGCCGAGTTCAGTGAGGATGTAAAAAAAAATAAGAATTAAGAGATATACTACCGGATTGGTTTTTCTTTAGGCTTTCACTCTCAAATTCAACAAGAGCAGTAGAGGCAATGCGGTCCCTATTATAGCAGGCGATTTCATTCCAAGGTCCCGACTCCTTGAGCCAAGATTTGTTGATCACACCCGTTTCTAACTTGCGGTTAGTCAAACTTGTAAGCTGACCATAAGACGCCGTTGGTCTCTGTCGAGATTTAAACGGGTGGAGCGCCGGTAACCCCTGCTAAACGAGATTAACGAGGATGATAAGCGAGCTTAAACGACTTTCAGCATCGCTTAGACACCTCGTTTAGGCTCGCTCTGGCTCGCTCATTGAGCTGTCATTTTTAATTTCGTATTTACGTGCTTAAATTTAACAATAGCGGGCTTCATCCGTGCAGCAAGTTCATATTCGAGGCTGAGTGAGGTCCAAGCATTTGCTTCGCCATGATGGACTCGTATGTGCATGAAATTCTTAAGGGCTAGTTGGAATATAAAGCTACCAATTCAACCGTCTAATTCTCTACTTACCAACAACTATCACAGATCTCACTTAGCCTCCCCTCCCTTCAAGCCTTCAATTGATTTCTCTGCATCTATTTCCAAAATGTCTTCTGACGAGATATCCTTCGAGCTGTTTAGATATGATCCGTCTCTGGCTGCGGCAGTGATCTTTATCATCCTCTTCCTGCTAATCACGATTGTTCACGCCTACCAGATGTTTCGCACTCGAACTTGGTTCTTCATCCCATTTGTTATTGGAGGCTGTTGTATGTGCAATATTTCTACCTAGCTTGGTTCCTACTAATATGAGCACTACAGGTCAATGGATTGGGTACATTGGGGTATGTTTTTCAAGTTTACCAACTCGCATAACAAGGACGCTGATCTGATCCTTTCTAGAGGGCCATATCAAGCACAGAGTCTCCTAATTGGACATTGCCACCTTATATTATCCAAACCATATTACCCTTAGTGGCTCCGGCTTTGTATGCTGCCAGTATCTACATGGTTTTAGGTCGCATCATTCTCGTCACAAATGGGGAAAAGTACTCGATTATCAAGAAGAATTTTCTCACGAAAATATTTGTGGCCAGCGACATTGTCTCGTTTTTGCTACAGGGTGGTGGTAAGTGTAGACTTTTAAGAGGCGGGACACTGCAGCTGACTCACTTCGACAGGCGGCGGCATCATGGCAAGCGCTACGGCTGAAGCCCTCGACACGGGTAGAAACATTATCATCGGGGGACTAGTGGTGCAGGTGGTGATATTTTCTGTCTTTGCCGTCACAGCAGCCATCTTTCACTGGCGCATGCGAACCAACCCAACTGAACACGCCCGCAACTTTAAATGGGAACTGCATCTGTACGTTCTCTATGGCGCCTCGCTCCTGATCATGGTGCGATCTATTTTCCGATTGATTGAGTACGTCGAGGGCAATGATGGCTACCTCATCTCTCACGAGATCTTCCTCTACATTTTCGATAGCGCGCTCATGTTTGCTTGCATGGTCTTGCTTGCTTGGTACCACCCGAGCGAGATAAATGCGCTTCTAAAGGGAGGGGAAAGGAAAGCGGTTCGAAGGGTCTTTATGATCTACTCACCATTGAACTCTAGTACAAGCCTGGCCTAAGCAACTACTCGACTCGTTGGGTTCTAATCCAACTACTGGTGTAGTATGATGTATGAGGGGTCGAGGAACCCTCTGAAAGATTCTGTTGTGCTATAGAATGAAAGGATAGAATTGCTACAATCACTTGTCTTCTATAGGTAACATGCTTTCTCATTTGAATATGTTATAGCAGCGGGGGATTTGATGGTACAGCTTTGCGTTATCGTAATTATAATCATTCATTTAGTCTGCTCTTACTATTGACAGTGGACTTTTTCTTCAACAAAGCCAACTCTTGTAATGCAACGAGAGTATGGCTTAAGTTGGGCTGCTTGTACATCAGTAGCTCTAATAATGACTTATCAGACAGGCTAATAGCACAACATACCTACTATAAAGACTTGCCTGGGTTTGTTTCTAAATCACAACTACCCCTTGCCTTTTTCATGGTAGATCTTATTTGATTCTACTTCAAGAACTAACAATTATAAAACCATGTATGGTGTCTAAATATTTTTCACCCGATGTCTCTAGCACCCAATTGATACTTTATTCTTGCACTTTCGCCGCTTTTAATCTTGCCCACTCAATATAAGGATCCCACTCCTGATCAATCTTAAGAAGGGCCTCGGATAAATCTCGAATGAGGAGAACTCCAAAATCTCGTCCCCACCAATGCTCGTGAATTTCGAGCGTCAAGACGCCATAATAAATCCAAATGAGCAGAGCCATAGGATCGCTCTGCTTCAAGAGAGTAATGAGCTGATGAGGCGCCATGACTGGCCACGCAATTGTCATACCGTGCCTGCCCGAAAAGCCGATGACGTTTTCAAACGTAGTTTCTAGGCTATGAATTCCAGCTGAATAAATTTCGTATGTTTGCGGCCCAACATATTTAGATATAGCACGTGCTCGCTCGTGGAGAGACGAAAACGCTTCAGCCCTTGATCCTTGTTCAATTGGATCTGGCGCCAGTTGGATACCTTCGGCAGGTGGCTCCAGGAGAACCTTGAAGGGGCCTTCTTTCAGACGTTGTTCTGAAGACCTTATCACAGAGACAACGCCCCGAAGCAGTTCGAAGATAGATACCAAGCTCTCAGACGGATTCAAGTCCGAAGAAATCCCCATCGAAGCGAGATTTATAATCATGATCAGAATTGAAAATGAGAATATTGCGTTGACATTGTCATCAGAGACATTTGACAGCGCTTCTTTGAAACCACGGATCCCCGAGTCTTGATACACCATCGCGGTTTTGATATGTTCAGAGCTCTGTAGAGGCTCGAGAGTGGCTAGATGAAGCGCAGCCACTGCCAGAATACCATCCGCCAGATATTCATACTGCATAGCTTCGCGAGGGATAATGTCTCTAAAAAGCTCATGATGTCCCGGTTTAAGGACCATAGTCTCGCAAGTTTTAGAGGTATAGTGATGCATTAAATATAACTCCCTTCCTCTTTTCGATTGTATCAGTGGTGCTTCAACTGAAAGGTGTCGGTGTTCGCTCCACTCCTGTGCCTCCCCAGGCTCCGTGGTAAACGAGCAAGTTTCCCTGCGCTTAGAACACCTTGTACATGATGGCTTGGCTTCATCGCACTGTGGGGTTTAAAGTTAGTTTCCAGGTGGGACTTGACTTTTCTACCATCTCGACAACCTCAGGAAGAACGAAGCTCGGGGAACTCAGCGCGATGCAACCTACCTTTACGCGCCGCTTCCTGCATTGCAGACACCCGTATCGCGACTTACTATGCGGCCTCCGCGGGGCGGACATGTCAAAGAAGGAAGGATCTCTCCCTCCAAACGCAGTGACTGCAATTATCGGGAGATGAACAAGTCTTTGGATCAGCAAGGAGTAAGCAGTGGGTCAAACGCGGCATTGAACCATCGCCAACATCACGTGATGCGCTCAGTATACTCGTGATCCTTCTTTCTGTCGCGAGATGCCCTCGGACTTCGAAAATGCATTATTTTATGTGATGATGTAATGTTTCATGAGAATTTGAATCTATTCAGCCCTGAAATTGACTTGCCTGGTACCAAATTGACTACTGGGACCAATAGAGATAGCCTGAGTAGAGGATGTATGGTACAAGAGCACTTTATAAATGATGATAAATGAAGACACTCTCGGGGCGGTTGACGATTAAAAGAGGAACTTGTAATTCTCTTATTAAATTGACAGTGTGAGAGGAGGGATCAAATTTCACCTGATACTTTAGTACTAGTAATCTCGTTAGATCTAATCAGCCGTGAGTCATGCGGCGAAAACCTGGGGAACTTTTATCCAGGCTTTGTGTGGGACTATTTCGGATAGACCTATATATCAACCTTTAGTAAAGGCAACTTGACAACCTCAGTGCAGATCCCGACTAAACAAGACACCAACCCGGTCAAGATCATATATGGCGAGGCGACCCACTACCAGCTTCATCGGTTGTCGTTCTGCAACTCCAACTTCCGAATATGTTCACAACCCTGCACGCTTTACGATTGGCGTTGCTGCGCCACGCGGCCCACAACACCCAATTATCTGACAGGATTTCCCCTGACTCTTTTCGTTCCTTCACCACAAAAAGAACAAACAAAGAAGAACGGAATACGATTGATATTCTAAGCTAAAGTTTCCATCCAACTGGGGGAACCTACACTTACTAACTAGCTTAGTCCGAGGGGTCCTTTCAGAGACTTATAGAAGGGCCGAGACTTTTCTCCGCCCATAGAGAGTTAGACTACCAACCATGGGACGGCAGCCACCTGAACCAGGAACAGTTCAGTGTGAAACGCACCAGAAAGGGGGTCATTTGCAGACAACACTATGCAGGAAACTCCCAGCTCTTCTTGCCTTACCAAGTGAAATTCTACTGGAAATTCTGCAATTAAATGTGGATTGCACGTGGGATACAGAGAAGGCTTACTGTCTAGATCTACGGAGAACTTGCCGTAAGTTGGGCCTAAATAATGTCTGTCCTCTTATACCTTTTCCTTCGTACTTATGCCCCGACTTAGGAACTGTTGATGATGCTGTTTCACGCATTGTTTTCCAGAGGATTGATCAGGGCATAATCCTTCGGAATAAGAAGCCATTGCATGGCCGGACTCTGAAGTGGCTACTCCTTACCAAGACAAAAATTCAATATACCAAAAAGGAGGGGCTATTCGCAACTATTCACGCATCCGCAGCATGGATGTCTACGCAAAGCGCATTTAACTCTAGGAAGCTCTACACCTACGACGACTATCTCGATGCTGCGTGCCGCGCCATTGTCGCCCGCCATGAAGATGACTGGATTTTGCAAAACGCAATTTTTGGAGTTTCAACATGCCGAGACAATTCATTTCGGACTAATCAGAAAAAGGCCCAGACGGTTGAGAATGATCTGGGTCAGGATGTGACGGAGATCCATGCATCTGAAATGGCCAATGGCGCTCTGCATCTTGCCGCGTCGCTTGGGAACGCCTCAGCTGTGATGTCGCTACTCGCAAGAGGCGTAAATCCGAACCAAAGCCATGCCTTGTACGGATACGCCCTAATTGCAGCCATATTTGGTGGACACGTGGAGATAGTCCGTCATTTCGTCAAACATGGCGCTGACTTGAACGTGCGGCCTCTGGCCGGTGAGCCTCCTGTTGTGTTTGCTGCCCAGAGAAATAACAAAGACCTAGTAGACCTGCTGGCGAAGGAGGGCCGTGTTCGGGTGAACAGCAGCTGTAAAAACGGATTGACTGCCTTGCTATGGGCTGTGAGGCGGGGATGGTTGGATACAGTCCAGACACTTCTCGGGCGAGAGGAAATCGACCCAGATCCTTTGACAACATGGGGGGACTCGCCGCTTGCAGCAGCGATAAAGTGTCGGCACGATGACATCGCTCGCTTGCTGATAAACCGACTTGATGTTGAGCTTCAGTTTCGTTCTGGCGTACAGGGTCAATTATTGGTCGCTGTTAAAAGGGGCTCCTGTGAAATCATCAGCTTGCTACTCGACAGGTACAAACTCGACCCAAATATTCATCTTAAAGCCGATAAATCTCTCTTAGGTCTTGCTGTGTTCTGGCGACAGAAATCCATTGTGGATTTACTTTTGAAGCACAAGGATGTCGATCCAAACTATAAACAAAAAGACACGCATCCTACACCTTTTATGATAGCAATTGACAATGGGGACATCGAAATGGTGGAGCTTCTTATTGCTCACAAGGGCTTGAACCCAAATCTCATGTCCAAGGGGCTCACGCCGCTGGCAAAAGCAATTCAGAGGCGGCACGATCAAATGGCTCAAATTATTCTTGGCCGAACTGATATTGATATCTCTATCAGAGTGCCCCTTAAAGGTACAACAGAACGTTCTCTTAGTCTGCTGGGTCTAGCTGCTTTGAAAGGTACACATGTTACTCTACGCGGTCTTCTCGATCATCCTGAAATCGGAGACCCAAACGATGGGGGGAAAGAGGAGCCCACGCCTTTATTCACTGCGATATCCCGTGGCAATACCAGTGTGGTCGGAGAGCTCCTCAAGCAGCATGATGTGGACCCTAACAAACTTTCAATGAACAGAGTGCTAGAGATGATGACACCACTACAGCACGCAGTTAAACGTGGCAATAGGAAGATAGTCAAGTTGTTGCTGGGTCGAAAAGATTTGGATGTGAACAAATTTGGGGAAAACCGTCACACGCCTCTGGAGCTTGCTGTCCTGGAAGAGGAAGCACCCGGACTTACATCTCTCCTGCTTACAAGAACGGACATTGATATCAACAGGCAAGCTGAAGTTCGCAGACAAGAATACCGGGTTGAGACTCATCGCATGACTACGGAGCTGAATAAGCTGGGCTACAACTTTAAATCAGTACATGCTGAAGGAGTTGGACTGGGAGGCGGAGAAACGATACTTTTACTCAACGCAAAGGGTGGAAGGGTTGATTCTGTCATGCAACTTATGCGTGACAAGCGTATCAATCCGAATATAGGAGATGCATGGGAAAGAACGCCACTTTGGTGGGCAGCTCAGGAGGGCCATATACAGGTGGTGGAGCGGCTCCTTGAGCTCGGCGACAAGATCAAGCCATCGCTTGTCAACGTGAATGTTCAGGACCTGGAGGGCTGGTCACCTCTTCTTTGTGCTGTGAATGGGAGCTACGAACCAATCGTTTCCGCGCTCCTTAAAAGGCCTGACATCGATCCAAATCTTGCCAATCAGGAGGGTTGGACGCCCTTACATCTGAGCGTGGCCCGAGAAAACGAAGGGATAGTGAAGCACTTACTGGCACACCCCAAAACAAATGTCTGGGCAAAGCTAAAAGTCGGTCGGACGGCACTGGAACTCACTGGCCCTTGTCGGGGGAGGATATTCAATGCAGTGAAAGCCCGTGAAAATCGAGACGCTGGGCGACGATGACTTAGATCCAGAAAAGGAGGGGGGGTGAGCAAAAGCCTTCAGGGAATGCGCTGAAGATAGCCATAATGCAATAACCGCTATCCAAAGAAGAATTATTTGTGCTCACCTACATAGATCTACCATGTTTTTGTATGAACTGAAGGTTGCTTCGGATGTTGTGAGATGCTGCCACTTTGCTACAAAGACGGCTCATTGGCGAACTTGTTCGTTTTGATTAGACTCGATTTGAAAGAGATTTAGTCCTTACTTCAGACAAGAATTTGTTGACGGTTTGAGGGCATAAGAAATGGAACGCATCGAAATCATATCTTTTACGGCAGGGCGCGAACTCTTTTCACGGACTTGGACACAAGCTATTCATCTGCCCCCTTTAAATTTACGTTATATTTGATTGTTTTGGGAAATACAGAGCGCATCCATGCAGCTTCTTTCGCTTATACAAACAAGTATGAACTCCAGTTCCCAATCTCTCAACTCCAACCGATGAATTTTTCCTTGCCGCTTAGTAGACAAGAGTAACGGGCTCCTTGACATATGATTTCAGGCTCGTCTCACCGTTGAGAGACTGGTAAATAGCCTGTACAAAGGCCTTGGCGGCCGCATCGGCACCGTCAGGGCTTGTGTGGGTGTGATCAGAAGGGTAAAAGGCGTTGACAGCGCTAGAGCCAAGCTTCTCATACATGTTGCTGACTGCCTGGAAATGATCGACATATGTAACAGACGCATCGTTGAGGGCAGTGACGGCCGTCTTTGTGTAAGCCACAAAGCGGCTCGCGCCTCCTTCGAAAGAGCCCGTCTCCCACTGGTTGTTGGGAGTCTGGGAGCTGAGAATCACAGATGCACCCTTGGCGGTCATAAGCTTAGCCGCCTGGGTCACGTAGTAGACAAACGTGTATACGGTCTCGCCCGTCGAACTGGACGTGCAGGTTTCAGTTCCATCACCAGGGCAGTCGGAACGACCATTGTCGTTCTTTTCAGGACTTCCTCCATCATTGTGCCCGAACTCAATAACAACAATGTCGCCTGACTGAACAGCATCAGCCACGGCTTGGAATCTACCCTCGTCCCAGTACGAACGGGCTGATCGGCCACCAATGGCGTGGTTGGACACTGTAGCAGTCAAATAGTCGCCAATATAGTTGCCCCAGCCATCAGTTTTCCCAGAATTGGAGCCGCCCTTGGCCATGGTACTGTCTCCGCAGAAATGAACAGTAGGTGCCTGCTTCGATACCCGACCGGAGGCAGGGGCAGCCATTGCCTGCAAGGCGCCCAGCGCAACGATCAGGAAGGAGGAAGAGAATTTCATAGCGAATGAAGGGATAAGTATTATTTCAGAGATGCCTGCTCAATGAAAATGGACTGAAAATGAAGAACAAACTGCTTCCTATGAGGGTGGAAGATCTGGCGGGATATATCCTATATTCAATAGCAAGGGGAGCTTGTCTTCCGCTTTTTCTTACATTGACCCTCGTGTTAGTTTTGAAGCTTGGATCAAATTTCGCTTCGCTGCTTCCGCGTTGCCAAGTTGGTAAATCCCCGTGTTTCATCCCATGTCAAACACAGCTGTCCCTGAAACAAGTCGCATCAAGTCAGAACCACGCGGCTTGGCATCGTCCGACACCAGAAGTCCGGTTTGACAGTGACTTCTTTTCCAGTCTCTCCTACTCTTGCAGCAATAGCCGGGCGGAAGCGTCTGCCCAACATTGTGGATCTTATCAATCTCATCATGCACTCTTCGCTATTCTGTAGCCGATCACTCCTGGTGCAGTAAACAACTAGACTCCCGGTAAAAGATAAGATTACCGAGCATATATCTTCCAAAAAATAGAATCCCAACAGCTAACTTGTCTTGTGTCGGTAGGCCTACCCGAGCATCACTTCTCTTTGTTAGCTATCCTTCATCAAGTAAGAGGGGGGAAGAAGAAAGATATTTAAATTACCTTCCCAGCCCCATTCCTCCATTATGCTAAACCAGTGATCTTTGCTTGTCACCGGATATTCCCTGTGCCCAGATGTCATTCGAGGCCGAGTATGCGTTGCAAAAGTAGAGAAATCGAAAAATTCGGACGCCCCAGTTACATCATCTGCAAGACAACTCTGGCAAAATGATTCTCCAACGCCACTGTCAGGTCGCAGCGCTCCTGATCCCATCTGCGGGTCTATGACTCCGGGGGCGAGTGCGGGAATTGCTTCGTTCGTTGAGCCGTGAGTAGAATCAAGGCACGAGGCGCATAGGTTTACGCGGCTTTCGCGTCTTCTCCATACTTCCAATGTAAGTTCTAGGCATCGTTCCACAATCCCAGAGGTCATCTCACTGGACATTGACTTCCATCGGCTGCGAACCCAGGCCTTGTCTTCTGCATCAATGACCTCACAGCCCGCGATCATCAGTGGCAGCACGTGGAAGATGAGCGCACGAGATTTAAGAGAAACTGTAGCAACAAGAACAAGGATCTTCTGGGCCATTTCAGAGAAGGATAGCTTTCTTGGAAGTTCTGGGACTGCCTGGTATAGGAGAAGAATCGTGGACCACTTGAAAACATTGGCCGTCTGCACCAGATCCGAGGTGGTTAAGTTGGGGTGCCCGTACCCGAATGGGACCTCTAAGTCGATTGGAGGAACCCAAGCTTCGATAGAGACCTTCAGCTCCGCGGCATAGGATACCGTTGCAGGGGAGTTTATGGCTTGCCGTGCGCTTCTGACACGTCTGACGAGGTCACCCACGCGGCCAATCAAAGGAAATAGTGTCCCTGCACATCCCATCAGAGGATCTATAGGCAGCTCAGAGCTACTTTGGAGGCTTAATTGACTGCAGGAGGTCATCAGTTCAAGGTCGATCTCTTGTGCGTCGGTGCAAGTGATCCGCGTGATGGTGTCTTGGTACATCCAGGTATTAGCCAGAAAGCTGAGGCAAATAGTGCTCTCGGATGTTTGTAGCCCTGGAAATGCCGCGAGAGCCCTTTTAACAAGCGGTCTTGCCCTCCTAGTGAACCGGGTGCCATTGGATGATCGCGGGTAATGCCATGTCTGGGCAAAAGCCAGAACCAGGGTGATAACCAATGCCACTTCAAGACGCATACTGCTGCTGTTGCTGCCAGTAGCTAGCTCTTGGATGCTATTTTTGAAATGTGTAACGCCTTCGGAAATGAATTTAGACATCTGGAAATATGTCATGGCTGCTATTGCATGATAGAGTGCAGGGTGTTCTTGAGCAAGCGGCCAGACAATTTTGCGCCATGGATTTCCGTTTGCACCCCCATACATGCAAAGCACTTCGCACACTCGACGATCATAGATACGAGCAACGTTCTCTGGGCTATCGCGAGGGATGTCGATTTCTTGAAATAATCTGAACATATCATTGTCATCTGTGATACCGGCCTCTTCTGGTTCCGCCCTGTTGGAGCGAGGATTCCATATTGCGTCCAAGGGGTTGAGATCCGGTTCTAGTTGCCTGGGTGTATGACCTAGCCAGTCAATTATGCTGCCGCCCGCAAACTCGTATATAAATGGCGAACCCGGGAGTGGATCAAGAGAACGTGGCAACATTGCCGATGCAGGGCATTCTGAGCCATCGCCCGCCGAGGAGAAAGTGCTCTGGCCATTTAAAGTGTTGTGAAGAGGAAGAGTTTCGTCAAAGCTTATTGATGTCCCGCCAAAACGGAGCTGAGAAGGAATATCGGCAGCGGGATGATCGGGCATTTGCAAGATTGGAGAGCAACCGCTTGACGGCAAAAAGGGGGTAAAGCTGGCATCCCCGAAATTTGGTCTGGCCCAGCCATCGGCACCTAGCTCCCCCGTAGACAGCGCTTCTTGTATATCGTGATCTTTTGGTCGTTGGACATCTGGGCGGCTAGAAGATGTGTTTGGCGTAGGCTCCGTTCTCGGGACACCTGCTTCAGGGAGGCCTGCCATTACCCATAAGCCCCATGCGACGTGGTTCGGGTCACAAAACCCAACTTACTGGTCCTATTCGATGAAGCACCCGGATGCCGGAAATTTTCCTGTTCGACCCATTTCAAATTTTTGAGATAGCCGCCACAGGGGACGCCTCGCCGGCGACACTCAAAACAGGACGGTTTGCCCTCGTCGCACTTCCTCCGCCTTGCCTTGCAATTAACACAGCCTAGCAAATCATTTGTGAGTGTCCACGTATACGATGGGGTATAAAGAGAGGGGCAAACCGTCTCGGCTTTTGGTTGCTTTAGACCTGGTACGGGGGGGCGTTTGCGGCTGCCCCTTAGAGGTACGTGGTAGTAGCTGACGGGGTTGGTCCATTCAGTCTAGTCCAGACGGAACAGGGAGAGGCCTTGCGAGGACGAAGCAAACAACGCAAAGACTACAGTGAGGGTCTGCGGGCCACCTCGTCTGCGACGACCTCAGGCTGGGATGCTTCGTGTGAAGAAGATGGGGGATAGGGGCAAGACCATGGCGAACGGCCGGTGATATAAGGGCCGAGCCGTGCTATCATTTGCGGGGTCGATAAGTGACCAACTCCGATCACGACCTTGTACCTCCACACGTTTGACGTCGTCAACCGCCAATGATCGCCTAGTGATTAGGAATAAATGGGACTCGTCATTGACCGAATGGTCATCTTGCAGCATAAAGTTCCGGATTGCTATTTTTGTCTGACCGAGCATGCAGCATCTGGTTTCACTGCTGCCAGGACTACTAATACGTGTAGGTAGATGACTTATTTACGAACCGCTGTTGCAAGTTGACGCCGCCTTTAAATAACCCTCGCACAAATGGCTATCTTGCATCAATACCAAGATACTGGGAGTATCCGCCTATTTACACTGGAAGAGCCAAGCAGTCGCTAGCTACGTCGGAACGTCCTGGAATGGTTACGGGAAGATGTTTACTCCAAGCCGGCATGAGTTCATTGAGGTGAAACGGAATGCTCTCGTAACTATTATAAGAAGGAGTACCATACGTGACTAATCCAAAGTATTAAAACAAATTCAGGCCCTCGGACCCGTCACCCACTGCTTTCCATGCCAAACTATCGTGAAAACTAATACTAAACAGAATTGGAAGACACACAGAAATGGGTTATCATGCACAAGCTGGATCTGTCATTTGGGGATTTCTCGGGGTTATTGGTCGCTGAGCGGGCGAGCTTGGTTCCAGTTCCTGTTCTTTCTCATACTGAGCAGAATACATGTCGAGAACCTGAGTCTGATAATCTAAAATCAAACTCAGCACCTGGACAAATAATTTTACTGATCTGTAACTTACACGAAGCGCGATTCTCTTTATTTGGATTAAGAAAGCCCTCGGTATGAATGCCGATGTTCAGGTTTATCTGCGCCCACTCGGCAAGTTCAAAATCCTCCAGCGCAACGGTGCTGGTGAATTGGAAATACTCTTCATCAAACTTCTTTGAGCCCGCCTCAGTCTCGTGATATTATCCGAATTCCATTGTCGAGCTTAATGCGTCCTTCTAAGGCATGATTCTCTAGGATTTGACACCGCCGGCGTCAAGGCTCAAAGTGTAATTAGGGAATATCTAGATGAGCAGACTATCAAGAGAATTCTCGGTACATGCAAAGTGTTGAGAGTAATTTTTGTGATTGACCACCTCAAAGGTGACGGGCGAATAGACCTTGGCGAATGCATGATGGCCAAGGGACGTCCATGACTTGAAAACAATTGATTAACAGCAACTTTATGGGATAGAAGCAAGGTACAGCAAGTCTTATAACGGCACGCCGCTGTAATGTGTAGAGGTTGCTGGAGGTGTAGAAGCGGGAAGTGTTGATGTGCAGGCAATCATCTTTGTAGAGAGTTATAATTGAGATTTAGATCAACTCGTGAGCTGATTCTGGCTCAAAGCAAGAATCGGAGCTCATATCAACATAGATCGTCATGAGGCATCTCGTGAAATACCTCTGGTGAAGGCTGCCTATCACATGCCGCTAATCTTGATGGAGAATTCGAGTCCACACCGGTTCTTGCCTGCTCGATTAGGAATATTGATCCGCCAGCGTCTGACGAATAAGATGTATCCTATATGTCGAAACCTTGCATGTGGTTGTGCATTGTTCAATCAGCCCTCGTGGTAAATTTAAACTTACTTGGGTGTAGATGGTCTCAGGCTATTTTGCCTATTACAGGAAAGCGATCTTACGATCCTCCGGTTCGGACATGATTGCGGCAACGACTCTGGTGCTTTTGGGGACGCGAGATAGGACAGAGAGCGGAATTGCGCCTGTCTAGGGAAAGCGATACGCCGGAGTATACGCCGGGATGCCGAGCCAAGGTCAGAACACCTTGTCGAAATTGTCCGTGTTGATCACAACACAGCACAAGTCAGGAATGCGATCCGACCCCAACCTCCAGCGATCGCACGAGCGAAGCTGAGATGGAGTTGCCGACGCATTATACTTCATTTCCTGGCCCGCCACTGCTTTGCGGGAAACAGAAACACAAACTCTCTTCTCAACTTCACGCTGTTCGTAACTGTCGATCGTCCTTCACCATGCTGAATCTTGTCGACCTTTCTTCATTTCCCCCTCAAGTACCTATTTACCTCTTGCTTGCTTTTTTGGGATCGGCATTTTTGAACGTTTGGCTGTTGGTCTCCAAACGCAGCTTCTTACCTCTTGTTGATGAACAGAAATTGCAGAAAAGAGGCCTCACAGGTCACCCGGCGGGATGGTGGGCCAGTGAGACCTTTTTCCAGGCGGAGAGGAGGTCCATTTTCAGCAAGGTATGTTCGTAGCCATAACTTACTCTGCACTAGTTAACAAGGGCCAGACATGGATTTGTGTGAGCCACCGAGGGCGTTTTGCCAAACCTGGGGATTACGTTACGCATGAGCTTGCAGGTTTCCGATTTTTCATCATCCGCGGCAAAGATGATCAAATTAGAACTTTCCATAACATTTGCCGCCATCGAGCCTTTCCTGTGGCGAACAAAGCTACTGGGTCAGCCATGGTTCTGGGATGCCAATACCATGGCTGGAGCTACAATACCAAGGGAGAACTCACTAAAGCTCCTCAGTTTGACAACGTTCCAGGTTTTGATAAAGGCAAGAACAGCCTGTTCGAAATCCACACCAAAGTAGATGGCTCGGGCTTTATCCATATCAACTTAGCGGGAGACCAAAGCCCAGTTGATAACCGCCCTCCGAACGCAGAGAAGATTGGGCGACCTGCCAGGATCAGTCCAACCTCACAATTTATCCATGGTTGGGAGATGGAGGGAAATTACAATTGGAAGGCAGCAGGTAACCCGCAATCCCTAATCTCTGTCGCTCCCAGGATCATCAATAACCTAAAATATATAGATTCGCAGGGAAACGGGGATGATGTTCACAATCCGAGCCAAGAGACTTCAGGAATATTTCCACGTGCATTATTTACCCACAGTCTTACTCCTGCGGGGCAGCTGCGCTTCTTTCCTCTAACCACCGTCTACACGAAGAGTGGGAGGCCCTTCTGGTACCAAATAACCCTTTCACCAGCATCTGCTTCCTCAACAACACTGCGCTGTGGACTGTACTCGACGAAGCAGTCAGAAATCTCACAAATAGGTGAAATTAAGGCCACTTTAGAAGCAGAGCTAAAGCATACAATCCAACGTTATGAGGATGTCTACAGGAAGGCTCTCAGCCAAGACGCAACAGTAGGAAACTTGACCGGTATGGAATTCTCACATTAAACATGAACTCAAAACAGGCGCTGATACTTTTCCTAGCAAATGGCGCAAAAATCGCGAACACTGTGTCCAAACACCTCAAGCAAGAGGAAGTAGAAGGCTCAGAAATCAAGCCAGCGACAGTGCAACACTATCGGAGCGCGGCGCATTTGAAAGCTGAACAAAGTAAGACTAATACCATCCTAACTACAACACGGAGTGCCGATTCTAATATGGATTTAATAAGTATGTCAAGCAATGCAATGCAGCAGCGACAAACTGGATTGGTGATCAGCTCCGCACTTCTCAACCGCTGGTTCACTAGGAAAGGAGATCTCGGAAGAAATTTGATATCCATTGTGATAAGTGGCATACACATGTGTGTGTGTAGTGTCTGGAAGAGCAATATGGTTTGTTTGGATTTATAAGTCAAGCCTACGTCCCAAAGCAACAAGTAGACCTACAAACCATAGTGTATGCGACTCTCCTTGTTATTAGATATTGCCAATGTGACTTGACTCTCTCAACCTAATAATCAATTAATGACACAGTCTCAAAACAGCAGAAGACTATGTATCTCTAAATTGGTTCCCTACGCGTAGATTACAGTGTCAAGCTTACTCCCATAAAATCCGCTATCTACACTATCTTGCTTGCCCAAAAGGCCAGAAGTATTTGATTATCCGAGGCCGGCTGCTGTTTCCTTATCTCGGTATCTCGTTACGCACTCCATGCTACTCTCCCTTATTTCCGCAATCCACCCACAACTCCCCTATCATGCTATGATTAAAGGTTATCATTGCCCCAAACCTCGTCGTTGTCTCAAGTCTAACTAGCCGTTTTTGGATACCTTTTGCGCCATATCTCTTTGATATGATAGGCTCACAGCAAAGGCCCCATTTTCTGAGAAGCGAACAGCTACGACAGGTCAGACCTCACGATGGGACAGTCGATGGTTTGCATCTCATCCTAGTCAATTAATGAATTCCATATAACTATAAATTTAAACCACTTACCGGCCCTAAGAGTATCTAACCCTCTTCTCGCAGCCTCACTTTCGCTCATACAGTGCTATTGAATCACCTGTTTGTCAACTTACAGGCGCTGGAAAGAACATAGACAACATCGCAACCTTGTATGAAGTCTCAGAGCCACAATCTTTCCTTCGGCAGTTCATATTGATCATTTCTGCTCCCTCTATTTGCGCCGTCTAAGTTCAGCGATGGAAGCTCTTCACAATTCAGAAAAGGGGCTGAAGATATCAGGGGAGAAAGCCACCCGGCCAAGGGCCTCTCTTGAACAGATCGGAAGCACACAAGCTTATCATCATGATGGAACTCGCCGCATGCTGAAGTCGCGACATATCCAGTTCATTGGCATTGGCGGCACCATTGGTACTGCACTTTACGTACGCAAAAACCGGGGGGACCAAACCGGATCCGTGAAATTCAATCTTATCCGCCCCCAGAGTTTCCCTGTTCCCTTGCTCCATTTCTAGTTCTGAAGTGCTGACTGTGAATGCGGACTACAGGTCCAAATAGGTAAAAGCCTTACCAATGGTGGCCCAGGTAGCCTGTTCATCGCGTTTTCATTCTGGTGCACGTTTATCCTTGCCATCACGATGTGTATGGCAGAGATGGTTACTTATCTGCCCATCTCATCACCATTCATTCGGTTTGCAGGCCGCTTTGTTGATGAAGCGCTTGGATTTGCTGCTGGCTGGAATTTCTTCATCTTTGAGGCTGTCCTGGTTCCGTTTGAAGTTACTGCATGCAACTTGGTGATCCATTACTGGAGCGACGTTGTTCCAACAGCTGCAGTGATTGTAATTGTTCTTGCTCTCTACACTCTGATTAATGTACTGACCATCAAGTGGTATGGTGAGACTGAATTTTGGGCTGCACTTGGCAAGGTGCTTCTAGCTGTCGGCCTCATCATTTTCACCTTTATCGTCATGGTGGGCGGAAACCCTCAACATGATAGGTTTGGCTTCAGATATTGGCATACACCAGGCGCCTTTGCAGAGCTCTACTACGAGGGCTCTTTAGGTCGATGGCTAGGGTTCCTCTCCTGTCTGATTCAGGCCGCCTTCCTAATTGCTGGCCCAGACTATGTGTCCATGGCGGCTGGTGAGGCTGAGAACCCCCGGAAGACCATGCCTCGAGCCTTCAACGCAGTCTTCTATCGTCTGACGGCATTCTTTGTCCTCGGAGCACTCTGTGTAGGCATCCTGGTTCCGTACGACGACCCAGAAATGGCAGCAGCTTTTAAGACTGGAGAGCCTGGTGCAGCAGCGTCTCCTTATGTTGTGGCCATGAATCGGCTTGGCATCAAAGTCTTGCCACATATTGTCAATGCCATGGTCTTACTATCCGCATTCTCCGCAGGCAATTCTTATCTGTACTGCGCCTCCAGGTCACTTTATGGCCTTGCACTCGAAAACAAGGCACCTCACTTCTTAACGCGTTGTACAAAAGACGGCGTCCCTATTTACTGCGTGGGTGTTGTGCTAGCAATAGGGCTACTCTCCTTCCTGCAGCTTTCTGCCAACACTGCAGTGGTTCTCAGCTGGTTTGTTTCACTCGTGACCGCCTCTCAGCTCATCAATTTCTGTGTTGTTTGCATCACCTACCTATGCTTCGCACGCGCTCTCAAGGCTCAAGGCATAAGTCGCGATTCACTCCCATTCAAAGCCCGGCTTATGCCATTCGGTGCATGGTACGGTCTTTCTGGGGCTTTCATCATGGTGTTTGTGCAGGGCTATACTGTTTTTCTTCCTGGGTTTTGGGACGTCCCCAATTTCTTGTTTTCGTGAGTGGTCAAGCCCAGCCGTGCGGTTTGAGGAAAGCTGACTGGCTTCAGATATACCATGGTTGGCGTGTTCCCAGCCCTTTATATCGGCTGGAAGCTGTTCCACAAGACAACAATCCATAAGCCTCTTAATGTCAACCTCCGTGAGGACTTGGATGTGATTGACGAGTATGAGCGGAACTTTGTTTCCCAAACTCCAGAGTAAGCCTCATCTTCCCCGGGCCACTTCGGAATTATTATTGACGTCTTTGAAGCGGTAAATTCGAACGGGCTCTTGACAAGTTGTTTGGTTGAGGTATTTTTGACGGGATATTAGCCACAGTTTTCCAACCAAGCTCAAAAGATGTGAGGAGCCTCTGATGGACTATCAATGATCATCAAGGCGATGCATTCTGTTGTTGGCTTAGAGGCCGGTGCTTATACTTTTGTCACAGATTAGGCCAAACTAGCCAAAAGGAAAATTCCTTGCCTAGTCTTCCACGGTTACCCTTATATAGCGCCTGTCATAACTTTTCTCTTGCTCCATGGTTTCAGTGACGCGATTTAATTTGAACGCCCCAATTCTCTGTGCGAGATCCTGATTCGTTCAGAATTAGATGAGTTTATCTCATGGTACTGAACAAGTATTCGGAAAAGTATATAAAGTTCTAGCCGACCATCTACATAAAAGTGATATCGAATCCCTTTTTGCATTTACCTTAACCTATTATGATCAGTCATTCGGGTCTAGGGGAGGAGAGAAATTGTTAAATTACCTACGAGGGCTCGGGCGGACTATATCGATTTACACCCTGGTGAGTGAATAGTTTGAATTAAAATCAGAGTCAACCAAAGCAACCCTCCACAGGCTTGACGTTCAGCTATTGGTCGACTCTATATAAATATGATTATGCTCGCTATTATGTACCTTTTCAAATCGACTATGGCGTATATTCCGTTCAATCCTGCAGATCTAGTAGACCTCGGACCACTCCAGTCGCATATCCATCAAGGACAGGCCCGTGAGTAATTATTAATGGTTCTCTCTCTCCGAAACTTCCCCAGTAAACAAGAATTTTCAATCCGAAAGGCGGATAGAAGTCACGCTGTTAGTCACTAAATTACGTTGAGAGTAGTATGCAAACCACTGCGCGACTTCCTCGATCTCTGTTTCCTCGAGATGCTCTAAATATTTATCTCTCAACGGCTCAAGTTGCTAGAAAAGATATCAGAATAAGAGTAAATACGAGAAGAATATTATGTGGTTAATTTATATAGGGGCGGGTGGCAGTACTTACGCGATCAATAAGGAAAAGAATATCCTGAAAACGTTTAGCCTCGGCCAAGGCTTGGTGTGTAAAAACTCGAATATTAGACAACCTTTCCTCCAGAGGAAGTTCGACTATAAAAGTTAGCAAGTTCTATAGCCAAAGAAATGTCAGGGTAACACCAATGGATAAAGCCATACAGTAAATATTGCTTCTCTGAACTGCGTCCAGGAAGCGGCTATCCAGGAGAGACGGCGGAAGTAAAGCAAGAAAGCTCATTGCCATAGAGAATCGAAACCCAAGATTGTTTTCAAAGAGAGATCCGAGACGAAGGGCAGAATCCAACGCCCGGGGGCCAGGCGGATCGGCTTGGAAGTCCGGAGTAAACAGCGACCGATAATCTAGGATGACAGTAGACCATGGTGTTTTCTCTTCCCGCCTCCAGTCGAGGTACGCAATGAATTTCGGTTGTAGATCAAACAAGCCATTTGAAATAAGCTGTTGAAGAGTAACAACTTGACATCTATCTTGGATCTTCAGGGACCCTTGGGAGAGAAACTCTCCGTTGTAATGTGCTGTCCCATAGTTTCCCAGGCGGAGGTTCCCGAGCCGTGCCAACCGCTGATTATGGGGGCTCAGCGGGCTTATTAAATCCATATCTCGAAGGAAAACTCTTTTCGGGAATAAACTGGTGTCTATGACACACAGATGTATATCATTGAGTGTGGCGCCGTTTGAATCCGTGCTGTAGCGGTTGAACATGTATAGGATAGCCACCAAGAGTGAGCTCGTCCATGACACAAAAGGGCTGAAAGAGCGATGATATGTCCAGCGCAGGTGATCCGCAAGCTCGTCGGCGATCACACTGGCCCGGCGGCTGCAGACATCCACGGGTATCTCAGACTGGCGCTCATGTGCAGCCTCCATGGACATGGCCCACTTTCGGTTTGTGAGACCGCCCGAGTTGGGGGTGTAGACCCTGAATAAATACCGTGGGACATTGTTGGAAGTCGCACGCAGCCACGAGCCTGGGGCATTCGAGGAGAAGGGAGTGCACTCGTAAGGAGCGCTGAGCGATTGAACAGCCATTGATTATTCTGCCAACTTTTGGTGTGCGATTGATGGCAACTCAGGAGGTTAGGGAGGAAATGAGGATTCAATCCAGCCACACCATTCAGCAGTGGGGGCTGGACAGGGGCCGCAATCAAATCAATTCAAGTGTTGAGCCTTATCAAACACGCCGAGCGAGGTGGCCTCGGGAAAATTACTTGCACCGCATTGATTATAAGTAGGTAATTGAACTGAGGGCATAGATAATTATTCGGTGAACCAACTCCCCTTCGTCTCGCCTCTCAAACAGCTATCGACATGGGAATATCATGATTGCCCCCATTATGGGCTCATTGTACCCGCTTGCCAACTCATTTAACTGTCGGTGTGGGGAACTTCACGTGATGTCTTGCGTCTCCCCATAGAATTAGGTAGGAGACGGGCATGACAAGCAGCTTAACTACATCTAACCTTATCGCAAGCGCCGTACCCATGCACAGCCTACCCTAGAGTTCTCTTCTCTTCACGACGAGAAAGATCCGGGGGCTTTCTGATCTATTCTCACCGTTGTCAACACTAGCAGATCTGCAGTTGCTTTGTGGTGGAATACCTTTGTGTCCTCTGATTAATACATAACTAACTACATTACCTAGATTGACTATTTGGCAATCCAAGTTGCATCAATGCCTTGGTTCGCGCTGCATGAATTTCATGCGCTGTGGGTCGACATCACCTCCCCATTTCCTGATGTCAAATTCGAGCACCTCGACCTCTGTGTAACCCAATTTTTTGTAGAGTTTCTCCCCGGTTTCACTCGCCTCTAGGAAGCTCTTCAAGTGCAGGCTATCGGCAAGTTCTGCCCCGCTCTCAACCAGAAGCTGACCAGCGCCTCTACGCTGATGCCTCGGTGATGTTGCTAGTTGCGTCAGTTGGACATGAGGAGTCTTGCCTACTAGCCGAGCCTTGACCTCCCATAGCCTTCCCAAGAAGTCCCTGGCCATCTCAAGATTGACCCTATCACCAAGAAGATTTTCAATATCATCAGCGTGTCGGATCTTTATCTCCTTTGCTTCTTCATCGTTCTTATACACAAGAAATGAGGCAAAGGCTATCATTTCGTTGTCAAGATCCGTGTCGGCGACTTTAAATATCTTCATGAAAGGGTTCGCTTCCCATTCCTTGGTTGCCCGCTCAGCCCTTTCTCGCTCCTTGTTGGAGATCTCTTCCGCACTCATAGCCTGTTGTGTCCGTGGGAAAAGAAATGGCTCAATTGGGTTGTTTTGAAAAGCTTCCACTTGAAGGGGTTTAAGTAATGGCACATCGGCCTTTTCGACCTCTAGGATTTGGAGAGGCATGGTAGAAAAAATTGAACCTAACACTGAGGCTGCAGTTGTTGGTATTTCGGGTTTGTTGGCTGTTTAAACCCTGGGGGGATCCAATGAGCAGGGCAAATTGCAACCCCAGAACAAAGAGATTCAGCCCATCGGTGACTCGGAATTAATAATATCCGTTCTTGAGTGAGAGATCCCCAACTTAGCTGCCATAAGCTTGTTTCTACTCGATTATTGCGTCAAGGGTGTTGCAGCTATCTTTCGGGTAATAGTTGGTTGATTTCACTGGCTATGAAATACGCAATTTTCGCACTTACACTTTAGATGACGCAATATCGATCATTTGTCATCCTTGATAACTAAGCTTCAATTAGAAATCATGGGATTATACCCGGCTAAGATGGGCTGCATGGGGTCCGATCTGTAGGGCGATGATTTCAGCGATGATAGGCAGCTTCGTCAGAGGCCCAGTCATGCTAGAAGTAAGCGGGGATCTATATATTGGCACAGTGCCTTCCGATCACGTCTACTCTCAGCTTGTGACAAGACTCAGCTATTCACTTCACGAATACATGCATCTACTACATTTTCACGATGGAGCAGTTTGAGTTTCACGATGCTACTTCCCGTCTAGGCCGCAGCTGGGAAACCATTGACTCTGGTGTCACCCAGCTCCTCCTCAACCATGACCCTGTCACTGGCAGACGCACCACTCTTCAACGCTGGGAACCTGGAGCCTCAAATGCTCAATCGCATCCTTTTATCCACGACTATGTCGAGGAGATTTATTTAGCTGAAGGAGACTTGTACGACACTCACCTTGGCCGTGGATGGACTGCTGGAGCATATGCGTATCGAAAGCCGGGGATGAAACACGGCCCGTTCAAGAGTGACCAAGGGTGTTTGATGTTTATTGTCTGTATACCAGTGAATGGGAGCGGGAATGAGTTGCGAGACTCGAAAGAATAATTCGAGATGGCCGGAGAGACTTGATGAATGATGTACGAGGGTTAAGTTAGAAGGTATATGAGCAACCAATCGCGATTATTTGCGGCTACCTCTTTTAGCAATGTTTACTTTTCCTCCAAATATCACCGTATTGTAGTCATTTGATTGAAACTGATCTGAGTTTCTAATCTGAGCACCCGGTAATAATGTTCCCAAACTATTGCCAGGTAAACAAATCCGTGGCTTTGCCGCCTTTTCGTGAACCCTCTAATTCTAACACGTTTAGAGAAAGAGAAGATCCCTCCTAGTCTCTTGTCCTGTCTAAATATCAACTTGAATAGTATGAAGCTGATTTTGGACAAAGATAGGGAAGGCCATCCGACAACCACATCACGTAGGTACCTACTTCAAGGCCAATTTAAATCAGCATAAAAGAATAATCGAGTCCTTTTTTTCATCAAAGTAAGAACTAGCTGTGCCAATTGACAAGTATAGGACATCTTTAAAATAGGTACCTAGTTCAGCGGGTAATGTTTTCGCTGTTTAGGATTAGGGACCTAGAGGATTTCACCAAGTCAAAACCACCTACCCTGAAGCTTGGAACGTGAACAATTTCCAGGCGGAGCCATGATGTTTCTTCCAAGCTTCCCTTCCACATACATTACACCCCACGTCGATCTTTCAGCTGCTTTCCTGCCAATACTTGGCCATATACTTTCAAGATGCCGCCGGTATGTAAGAAAACACGTCGAGAGCCTGCCACGACAAACCCTGTACAAATTGAAACTGACTCTGAATGCCACAGCGCCACCATACACTCCCCGCCGCCCAAACCTCGTCCGCGCGAGAGGCCCAGAAGTCCTTCTACTGCACGCTCTGCTCCAAGGGCTACTCCCGCATGAACGATTATGAGGCCCATCTATCCTCCTACGACCACTCTCACAAGCAGCGACTGCGCGACATGAAAGCTATGGTGCGGGATCCCAACGCCTCGAGCCGAGCGCGCAAGGCCGAGGCCAAGGCCGACGGGATTGTCAGCATCAAGATGCCGCAAGACGGCGCTGGGTCGGCATCCTCTGGCGGAGGGTTCAAGAAGGGAGGGTTCAAAAAGAGCGGTTTCAAGAGCGCCTTCGCACCCGTCGAGGACTCTAATGCAGCGCCGCCCCAGGACAACGCGAGCAAGCCTACCCAGAAATTAGACATGCCAGGTAGACCATCTCTGGTCAGCCCGGCGGAAAGCGATACCGAAGATGAAGGCTACGAGATGTACGACCCCCGCTTCCCGACCGATTAAATTGGCATGCTCTGGGCAATGGCGACGAGTGCTATTGTCATTATACACACACGATTTCTATATTCCTCTGCCTACATGGAACCTACTGGCGCGTCCAGCGGCTGCCGTCTATTTGAGAAAGGTCCTCCTCTAGAAGCCCGAATATGTTCTGGCTGCCAGCGAACCAGTCACCTGTGGGCTCCTGGCCAGACACCTGGCCCCCATGGGCCACATTGCCTTGATTCATGGTATGGTCTTCATTTGGGATGAACCCGAGCTGGCTCAGATACATGTCGAACTCGTCCCCAATTGGGATCATGGTTTGGTCCTGCTGCTGCTGTGACTTGGCTTCGACATACACCGCCGCCACGTCCCGCATGACCTGGAACATGCGGTGAAGCTTCTCCGCCGTCTCGGAGACGTCCCGCAGCGCCCCGAGCGATTCGACGAATTCGTGGAGGACCATTAGATCGGCACGCGATTGAGTTTCTATCACATAACAAAAGAGTATGAAGAAGGGGGCGAAGGGAATTAGCATTAGGCTCCTGGGAAGTTGTTAGCGCTAGAAGGAGGGTAGAGCTTCCCTTTCATAACGGGGGAAACCCGACCAATGGACGTAGATGGCTTTAAAGTATGGCCCATATCGCATCAGACCGATGCTCTCCTTGTGAATATCCATTGCTTTTCTTGCCGACTCTAGGCATTTATCACAGAAGCGACTGACGGAGTTCTCGGGGGCTGGGAGTGCTTGATATACGAGCGTTAGAGTGACATGGAAACCGATCTCGTCACCCTTGAGGAAGAAGCTGATGATCTCAGATGAATTGACCGAATCGAGGTAGGCAACAGTCTCATCTCGGGTAGATGACACCTGTACTTCCAATCGTTCACATTCGGCTGCCAACTCCCGCGCTCTCCTAGCCAACTCAGCTGGGTCGGACTGCAGAGCTCCAGGGCTATATCTGTAGAGTATTCATCAGTCCATGTCCCAAAAGAAAGTCTCGCCGTTCTGGAGCGTACAGCTGTTCATAGATGCGGCCTTGCAATGCAGCCGTCTGCACCCATAGGTCCGTGATGGGTGCGCCTTCCGGCAACTTAACGAAAGAGCCGAGGTCAAAGCTGCGCTCGATGCTGATGTCGCATTCTTGGATGACGGAGGACCGGCCGAGTCTGAGGCCCAGATTCTTGTCGATGGTGTATATATTCCAGAACAGGGACGCCTTAATTTTCTTTATGTGAAGGGGATCGCCAGCAACACGCTCGGCGCGATGGAAGCCAGCCGTTTGGCAAAGCTGAGCGGCAGTCGAGTTCAAATACCAGGCGACGGAAGGTCTGGATACATCGATAGAGTATTGGGCCTACAGAAAGGGTCAGCCACTGTGCTCATGCATTCCATCCTGGGATAACACAGGTCATGATGTCGGAAATACTAACCCCAAGGATAAGTGCCTGAATGGTCTCGATCTTGGGAGAAAGAAAGAAGGGAAGATTGGCCAAAGCGGTCTCCATGTTGGCTTGACACAAGAGTCCATACGCGCGATACTCATCTTGAAGGCCTTGATCCTTCGCGAGAGCTCCTTGTTCCACAAAGAGATTGTAGAGGCCGGAATTGACGATGATGAAATGGCAAAGTGAAATATCCTCGGTTGGAAAGTAAACCATGCGGCAAAGGTCATCGAAGCCTAGCAAGCCAGTAATATGGCAGACAAAATTGAAGAGGCTCATGGGGGTGTCTATAAGTTTGTTGGCATCAAACTGTGGGGGCACGAGGTTACTCTACTCAATATTGGAATTACTTACTCTTTGCATCCTTTAGAAGCGGCACAACCACTTCGACTGGTGGCATAGGGAGTTTGGACACGCCCCCGGCTGGAACTGGTTTCTGTAAAGGGAAGCGCGGTCCATGGCTCACAGACTTTTGCTTCTGCATTTCGACAAGCTGGCCAAGAGTGGCGAGGGCCGCCTTGATCGAGGGATCGGCCTCCCGGAGAGAGGTTCGCTGGACCGCATTCTCGAGAAATTCGCTAGCAAACGCTGTCTGTGCTGTGAGAGCGGAGTCACCACCAAAAGCAGACTCGTTATCACTCGAATCAATATCCCCCGACGAAGCAGTGGTGGGAATGCTACTGCCTGTTATCGGGGTTGGTGCCAAACTTCTGGAACCCGGATCAGTGGCAGGCTGGCTCTGTGTACTCTGTGTGGAGGCGATGTGCTTCAGGTAGGCTTCAATATTCTCGAGTCGACCCTCAATGCGGTCGATCTTCCGCTCACTAGATACAAAAGAAATCGGTACTGGTGAGTTGCCAAGGAGAGGACATGGGTGGCTAGGCGGGAAAGGCGGGTACATACTATTGAGAGGATATAAGAACTCGCTGCCGACTCTCCTTTGGGCGCTGCCCAGCGCCCGTGGATGTACATGACCGTTTGGCCATGCGGCAGTTGGAACATGGCCAATCCTTATCACACCGAATCTACAGGGAGGTCCCAAACGGGTACACGTTAGCAACTTAATGCCCGTGGTTTGTGGTAGATGAGGCAGATCGATCACCATTCATACCTTTTTTAGGCGGCATTGGTCACACTAGGAGACAGTCAATGGTTAGTCCACTGATGCACTAGCTAATTATGCAGTAAAGGGAGACCCTGCACAATACGAAACCAAGAGTACATTGCGCCAGCCTTT